GCGCTGAGCATCCCGCTGCCCCGGACTCTCCCGCGGGCGCGCACCGGGCTCAACTCAGGTAAGGGGGGCTCCCCCCCAGCGGGCACCGGGGCAGAGAACCGAGACTGAGAGGAAGAGACACAGCCCCTAGGAGAGACAGACACAAAGAGAGACACACGGAAGACGCACAGACCACCAAGACCCCACGAAGAAGGGAAAGAGACACGTTCACGAGGACAGAGGGATACAGCCGGGAAGAGAGAGTGGCACACACAGGGACTGATAGATACTCAGAAACAGATTGGGAGAGAAAGGAGACACTCAGACATTCAGAGATGGGGACACACCGATGTGAAGAGAGCTACCCAGAGACAGGCAGCCACACACAATCCCAGATATAGGTATGCAGAGGAGAGACACCTATCTAGCAGGGGAACTGTAGGAAAACCACACACCCAGACACACACACCTGACATAAAGAGACAAGTCCCATGGAGAGGCACACCTAGGTACAAAACCTTGGAGACACAGAACCCACACATGCCTGCCAGGGCCTCCACAAAGTTCCCTCTGTGTGAGCTGGCGCCTCTGCAGGTCTCCTGGGCTGGCTGGCTGCAGTCTTGAGAGGAGGTGCCCTGACCACACTAAAGCTGGTCACAGTCCCCTTCATTCTGGGCCTAGGACTCTTAGTCCCACCCACTGGTGGGGTACCTTTGAGGGCTGGAAGCTTGGTGGGAAGGGCCAGTTAGTGTCTACCACCTCTTAGAATGAGGTATGCCTACTCCAGCTTCCCCACTCTGGCTACACCAGCATCCAGGTGCCCAGAGCCAGGCCTGAGGATGGGGGTGTTGGCTCTGTGAGGTCTTTGAGCCTTGTGGGACTCAAGGTTTTCTGCTAGGGAGGTCAGAGATGTGGGAGGGGAGCTCTTGGCTTGGGCCTCTCCCACCTCTCCTTCCTCATCACCCTCTTATTTGCTCTATGCCCCCAGGCTCAGGACTGCAGGTGGGCATCTCCACTGCCCAGGAAACACTGAGTGAGCAGACAGGACAGCCTCCTTGGAAAGCGGCCGTATTGGAGTTCCTCCTCGGCATGGGCCTTGCCATTGAGGCAGCTCCGCTGTCTGTACTGATTTGAGGGTACTGCCCGTCATGGGGGCAGCCATCTCCCAGGGGGCCCTCATCGCCATCGTCTGCAACGGCCTCGTAGGCTTCTTGCTGCTGCTGCTTTGGGTCATTCTCTGCTGGGCCTGCCACTCTCGTTCTGCCGACGTTGATTCTCTTTCTGAATCCAGTCCTAATTCCAGCCCTGGCCCCTGTCCTGAGAAGGCACCACCACCCCAGAAGCCTAGCCATGAAGGCAGCTACCTGCTGCAGCCCTGAAGGCCCTTGACCTACCCTGGAGCCTGGGACCTAAGTCTACCCCACTCAGATCCTGGAATCAGGATTCCAGAGTTCAGCCAGCCTGGGGTCCAGAACTTGGAGTTCAGCTTGTTTACAGCTGGACCCAGAAGCCCAGAGTCTAGCCAGCCTGGCTCCAAGAGAGGCTCTGGTGGCCCTAGAGAGACAGGCCTGGGGTGGGGGTTCAGGAGTTGGTGCTAGGGCCAGGGCCATCTGAACTCTGCTCCATCCCAAGGGCCAAGGGCTGGATTTACCCTTTCGCTAGGCTCAGCACCTTTGGGCCCTCTAGGTTGGGAAAGCAAATTGGAACCCATGGCAATAATGGGAGGGTGTCCAGGGTGGGCTCCTCCCCTGGTCCTCCCACTGTTTGCTGGATAATAAATGGAACTATGGCTCTACTTTGAGATTCTTCTCTTCCTGGGGGCCCTGTGGTAGCAAAATTAAAGGCATGGGATGAACTTCCAGACAGATTTATTTTTGCACAGTAAGAGGAGGGTCATGGTGGTTAAGGGTCAAATCCTGAAGTAATGTGCTAGGACCTTCAGAAGCAGAATGAGAACGGCAAATACTGAGACCCGATCAGGGGCAGAATCATGTATGCTGAGTGCATAGGCACCCTGGTACCCAGCCCAAGGACTGCAAGAAATGGGTCAGGGATTGAGACTAGGCCCTTAGGTTTTCACTTCTCTCACCAGGTTCAGCAGTTTGTCCAATTTTGCGATTTCCACAGCTGGACCCTTCTGCACTTCCTGGCCCTTCTTTTCCTGGGGAAAAGGGATATGTCCATGGGGGAAGAATGGTGAGAAATGAATTGTCTCTCTCTGGGTGACTCCTTTGTCCAACCTGCGGCAGCAATGCTCCTCCTCTGCCCAGTAAATTCTAGATTTCCACTGTCCCCAACTCCCACATGAGCCCTCCCCAACTCAGGTTAAGTGACCCATAGGCCCAGCTGAGGGCCTATAAGAAGGCATTGGTTCTGGCTCTGAATCTCAGCTAGAATTCTCTGAGTTTGAAGCTGGCAGAAATGGGAGAAAGTGTCCATCCCCATTCAGACCAAGGAGATCTTTAACTCCGGGGAGGAGGTTCTGACTGTTGGAACCACACTTTCCACAGGAAAGACAGACCTTTTAAGGATATAATAGGTATGTGTTGGGCTGGGGATGTGGCTTAAGCAGTAGCATGCTTGCCTGGCATGCGTGGGGCGCTGGGTTTGATCCTCAGCACCACATACAAATAAAATAAAGATGTTTTATCCACCGAAAACTAAAAAAATAAATAAAAAATAAAAAAAATAGGTATGGGTTTAGTAGGGAGAGGGAAGAGGACAAGCCCACAGGTGTCCTCATCTAATGCTCTAAGTCAATACTTTTAGGTCTGGTTGAGGGTAGGGTGTCATTTGGAGCCAGACCTACTGTGTCAGATATACCCAGGGTGGGAGAAAGTTATCAGGAGACTCTGAGGGCAGGTGGCATATCCCATGTGACTCCAGATGTCATTGACTGGGACTGTCCCTCAAAAGAGAAGATCCTGAGCTTATGACTGTTGTCGTCCCCTTCCTGCACCCCCCACAGAGCACATGATGCTTCCAGTGGTAAGTTGGGCCCTGAGAAAAAGGGAGTTGGGACACTGGGGTATGTGTTGCTTGAAGACCCTCTTAGGCAGATCATACCAGTTACATTTTCCCTACTTTCCAGACAGTGGGATGTGGGCTATGCTGGGGCAGGCTGGGCAGCTGCCATTTTCTGCCTTCCCTCTGTTCCTGGACCCCTACCCTCTTAGCCACCTGTGCCACTACTCACTGGCACATGCCCCAGCTTTGCCTGCTGAGGCCCAACCTGGATGTGGCCTGGGCTTTAAGGGAGGAGGAGAGTATAGGGCCAGTAGGCCCCTTACTTGGCCCATCCCTGCTGCTGACACCACGCAGAGCTCAAATTTCCTCTTGGTTTGACACTTGCAGCTGTTCCCAAATCTGTCTCCCCAGCCCCTTACAGCCTGATGCCTTTGCCATTACCCACCTCACCTCTATACTCTTGAGGCAGGCGACAAAGAAATCTTTTCCTCTCTTCCTACTCTCCCTCCCAAATTAAGTTCTTATTCTCTTCTTGGCCTCACCCCATCCCCTGGGATTTAGGGAACCTGGTTTTTTATTCCAATTCTGTCATTAACACCCTTTATGACTTTGGGCAAGTCCCTTGCTTTTCTGGGCTTCAGTTTACCATCTATACAGTAGTTGAGGTAAGATAGTCCTTGACCTCTGACAGCAATCACAGGAAGCTCCCTGTGCAGAGAAGCCTGAGCTTCTGTGGATAAGCCCTCTTGTGAAGGGTAGATAGTCTGCATTTCACAGTGGAGGGGCAGTAAGGATGCCCACAGGACTTCCTTTTGTATAAATCTCTTGACTGCTGATAGGATCAGATAACAATTTCACAGGAATCTCTAACTCAACCAATACCAGCACCCACTGTCCCCTGCTCAGGTCCTCAGAGATGAGTTCCCAAATACACAGATCCCAACTTTCACAATCATGACTGATCCTTATTCTGTGGGAAATTGGAACTGTGGGAGATTCTTGCCTCCCTGGATCACAGCAGGTAGAGCATATCTACCTGTGCGAGATTCTTGCCTCCCCAGATCAGAGCATATCTACCATTCTCATGGTGTCATTGCTGTGCCTCTCCCCCAAAGGGTGACCATCATTCTCCCAGAGGGCTGTCCAGCTCTCCCAGCTTAAACCTTCCCCTCTCTCCTCATTAAATTAAGAACAGATTGTGTCTGTTCCACAAATTGTGCTGCCTTCTTCCCTCCTTCCCCCTCCCCGAGGGCTCAGCTAAGAGATTCAGACCACGCCCGACTCCCCCCACCCCCAAAAGCCCACCACAGCCTCTGGGCCACAGCTGCAGGCGCTTAGCAGCCTTCAGAGTATTTATAGCCAAGTCCACCCCCTCCCCCAGCTGGCTACAATTACAGGCCAGGCCACACTCAGCCCTTGCCTCCCTGGCCATGGTGGGGAATAGACCAAGCCAGTGCCAGAGGGATGGTACAGTGGACCCTGTCTGGGTAGAGGCAGAGGGAAGAAGTCCAGTGGCTGAGAGTCTCTGCTTCTGCCTCAAACTGCAGTAAAGGCCTCAGGTTGCAACCAACAGGTACATTAATCAGGGCAACTTGGTTCAACCCTAACTCTAGCCCAGAACCTGGAAGAAAGCAAAGAACCATCTCCACTCTGTACATGAATGGGCAGGACTGGGCTCTGGGTTCTTGAATTTTTAAGTTCTCTGAATTTTTAAGTTGGTTCCTAGGGCTCTGGACTTTAAGGCCTGGGGCAAAAGTCTGGGTTCTTAAGTCTAAATTTGGACTCAGTTTAGACTTTTAGGTCATGGCTCTGGGCCCCATGGCCTATATTTGTGGCTCTTGGGTTCTGGGCAGTGGCTCCTGACCATTAGAGACCCCAGAAAAAGAAACAGAGCTAAAAAGGAGGACTGCATAGCTGCTGACCTAGTTACCCTCCTCATGGCTCATTTCCTCCTTCCCTGTTTAGACCCACAGCTTCCAGCTGAGGGACACTGGAGCTGAAGCTCTGTGTAAGCCCAGCTATGAAGCACTGGCTAAACCTCCAGTTCCCTGCCTTGGTGACCTGTCACATCCACAGCATCCCAGTAAAGGATGCCCAGTGATGCCCTCACTCAAGCCCTAGGCTCAAGCCAACGTGCTCACTGGGTATCTCCCCCTGGCCCAACAGGGAGCTCAGATGCAGTAGGTCAAAACCGACCTATTTCCTCATAACCAATTCTCCTCCTCTGTGCCTCATTCATGCAATGGGACCATCCTTACTCTGGGGTCCTTCGAGCCAGAAACCTGGGGTCACTGGTGGCTACTCCCCTTTGGCTCCTCCCCACTATCCTCATCTCTTGTAGCAGTCCAAACTCCCAGAGCCCCTACCTTTGGCATCTTGCGCAAGTTGGGTGAGAGCTTAAGACAGGTAACATGCCCTCGGTCATCGCCAATGATGATGATGGGATAGATGGGGTTGAACTGCACATGGGTGATCTTGTTCTTCTTTTTGGCCACCACCGGCTGGTTACAGATGGCCTCATACTTGTTGACAGCCAAGTCAAACACATGGGCCTATGGAGGGGCTGGTGTCAGCACACTCAGGAGTGATAAGGCTCCTGTCCCTCACCCCACAGGACCTACCCTGATATTTCTGGTGAGACTACAGAAGGCTAATGTTAGCACACTAGAGCTGGAGGCAGTGGGAGAGGGAATTTTATTCTTTATTTATGTTTTTTTTTTGTGTGTGTGGTTGAGGGAGTGAGAATTTTTTAAAAATTAGAAGAAATTTTAAGTCTATACAGAATCAACAATAATAGCAGCTACTGGTCTGGGGCTGTGGCTCAGTGGCAGAGCGCTTGCCTAGCGTGAGGCACTGGGTTCAATCCTAAGCACCATATAAAAGCAAACAAATAAAATAAAGGCATGACGTCCATCTATAACTACAAAAAAATAAAAAGTAAAAAAATAAGAATAGAAGCTACCATTTATCAGACTCGGCACACATGTCACAAGGCTGCAACATCTAATTGTACTTCTCACAACCACGCTATAAGGTGGTTCTGTTATCCATATTTTATAAATGAGGTGTTAGAAGCTCTTAGAGGCTAACTTACTAGTGAGTGGCAGAGCCAGGGTTTATATACCAGTTACAGATGTCAAATACTCAGATGGTGCTTGACATACAGGTATCCAATAAATGTTTGATGTTATCTTTGCCACAACCTAAGACCAACCCACTATCAACTCCTGCCTAAACAACTGTGGCAGTCTCCTAACTGGCCCCTTCCTTTAAAACTCTTGCCCTTCTACAATCCATCCTCCATGCAGCAGCCAGACTTCCCTTTAAAAAATTTAAAATCTTTCCAGAGTCTCCTTGGCACTATAAATAAAATCCAGATCCCTTTCTCTAGCCCCCACCTCACTCTCAGGGGCTCTCTACACACCAGCCCCACTTTCCTCCCTGTCCTTGAAGGCCCTCAAGCTCATTCCTACCTTAGGGTTTGTGCCAGCATTTGCTTAGGGTGATGGTTTCTCCACCCCATCTTGTCATTCAACCTATCTTGTCATTCAGTTGGCTCCTTGTCATTCAGCCTGAATATCACCTCTTCCAAGAAGCCTTTCCTGACCACTCAAGAAGCCATACAATCCTTTTCTTCTCTTTTTTATTTTAACAGCTTTATTGATATATAATTCACATACTATAAAATTCATTCATTTAAAATATGCAATTCTTGGTTTTTAGTGTATTCACAGTTATATAACCATCATCACAACTGATTTTTGGAATGTTTTCATCACCCCCAAAAAAACTTTTGTACCTAGGAGCAGTCACTCCCAATTTTCCCTAACTCCCCAATCCTGGGTAACCACAAATCTACTTTCCATTTCTATAGATTTACCTATTTTTTTTTTAATATTTATTTCTTAGTTTTTTGGTTGACACAAAATTTTTGTTTGTACGTGGTGCTGAGGATCGAACCTGGGCCGCACGCATGCCAGGCAATCGCGCTACCGCTTGAGCCACATCCCCAGCCCCTAGATTTACCTATTTTGAATATACTAGGCAAATCTATTATGGGCATATCATATAAATGGAAACATAAAATATTTGTCCTTTTGTGTCTGGGTTATTTTACTTAGAGTTTTCAAGGTTCTTCCATGATGTATGTCTGAGTACATCATTCCTTGGTGTTACGGAAGAATAATTCTTTCACACATACAGTAGATTTTGTTTATCCATTCATCAGCTAATGAATTCTGGCTTATTTCATTCCTTGGTTATTACAAATAATGTTGTTATAAAAATTTGTTAGCACATTACCCTCTAGCCCCCTAATTTTAATTCTCTGCCCTTAACATTATGAAAATTTTTGGTGATGTTGCTTTTGTCTCTCTCCTTTCACTAGAATGTAAGCTCCATAAGGGCAAGTACCTGAATCACTAGGTTAGCCTACAGCTGGGCACCAGAATTGGCCCTTAGTAAACATCTGCTCAGGATATAGATGATGAACTAACTTTAGGGTGACGCCTTAATCACTATATTCTTTCCATGGGGGCAGCATTTCTTTTAGTTTATATCAAAATCTGTAAGGAAAAGAGGTTGTGCTCACAAAACGTTTCTGAGCTTTTGCTAATTCTCAAAATTGAATAGACTTCTCCCATTTTGCCCCACTGAAGCCTCTTCTTAGCATCAGCTTGCACATTTCCAGAGAGAGGGGACTCTCTACTTATAGACACTATTTCAGTCACAGATCAGTTCTGGCTCATAAATTTTTCTTTAGCTAGAGCTGGCCCCTGCAACCCTCTAGCTCCCTCCCCAGGGAACTCAAGAGAAGATAATTGGTAGATGGCATCATCTCATCTCCTCTGATATAAACAGCCCCATTCCCTCCTTGAGGTCTCCTATGATGAATGAGTCTCTTTTTTGGCTGGACCTTGGATGCCTTGACCCTTGAGAATGCACAGTCCTTATGTCCCACTTTTCCCTACTGACCTGGGCATGGAGTGGGCTCTCCAGGAGGGAGACCCTAATATACTTCACCTGATCTTCAGTAGGGGCTCAGCAGAGTCAGGAAGGGGCCACTCACCTTTCCATCTGTAGTGACTGCTGCAAACACAGTGGAAGAGTATGGTGACCAGGCCACATCACCCACAGCTGAGTTCAGGTCATAGATGAACATAGGGGTCCTGCAGTAGTGGAGGGGTGAACTCCATGACACAGGGCTTATAATGCCAGAGCCCAGGGGAGGGGCCCAAGGCAGGGCAGGTCCAGCAGCAGGCCCCTCACTTGATGGTGTGGTCCCAGATCTTCACTGTCCAGTCAGAGCTGCAGGACATGAAGACCTTGGCGTGGTATGGGTTCCAGGTCACAGCATCCACTGCCATATTGTGGGCATCATAGGTGTCGAGGAATTGGCTGGAATAGGATTTAGAGCACTGGTGGGGAGTAAGGAGAGATCAGGAGTCAACACTGAGATAAAAACCAGCAGCCACAGCCTCCTTAGGGGCCATGGAGGACAAGAACTGAAGCTTCCTCTTTACTCCACATTGTTGGGGCCAAGTTGCTGGCTACTCTTCCCACCCTCCACACACCCAGAGAGAAAGGAGCACTTAGGGGTTGGGGGTTCAGGAGGACAGGGGAGCCTTCCTGGAGGGTGAAGGAAAGTGCTGTAGGCTGCTTAGCGGCTGAACCCTGGGGACTCCAGGCCATTTAGAAAAGGTCTCCTGTCCCTGTGTCAGGACAAAGCAGGTCTCAGGCTTTGGGTTTCTCCAGACCAGGACCTGTGCACAGGACAGATGGAGCCCTGGGTCCACTGCAGCACACATTACCCTAGTAACAGTGAGAAACATCCCACCGTGTACAGATTAGAGCAGGTGCAGAGCCGGTAGTAGACTCAGGATCCCCAGATTTTCCATTCAGTTTCTTGCCTTAGCCTGCGATCCTCTCTCTCCCCCTCCCTCCAGGAGATAGAGTGACTAACTGGTCTCCCCTTCCCTTCTGCCTCTCTGGGGCTGCCAACGGCTGGGGTGGAGAGGGGGTGGGGACCTCTTTTGCATTCAGACCAGCTCTGGCTGGGCCTCAGGGGCTCCCGGGAGGCTGCCTGTAATTAACATTCTGAGTCTCTGAGCCTAAGAAAAGCTTGCAGCGGAGCTATTTCTGGACGATGGAGGTTCAGAGGGATGTTCACCTACTAACACTGAGACACTGCAGACACCAACTGTGAGGCTGTGTCCTGCCGGCACCCGATATTCTGAGATCAATCTGCTTGTTGCCTGGCCTTAAAAGTCCAGTTCAAATTCAGATCTCCTCCAGGAAGTTTGCCCAGAATGTTTCAACTTCCCCAGCCCCCAATCCCATCCCTGCTCCACTCCCAGGGAGAAAGGAAAAGCCCAAAGGGAAAGAAGCTAGGCTGGACTAAAGTCACCTTCTAGATTCTCCATCCCCTTTTAGTCCTTCTTCCCATCCAAGCTGATCAAGAAATGCATTGTCTTCCCCCAAGAAGCCTTCCAGAACTGATGAGCATCACTAAAATCTGTCAGACAGGATTTGCTGAGTGCTTTAAATTCCCCAGGTGCTCAGGTCCAAGTGGCCCTGAGAGGTGTTGCCATGGGCAGTGATGCCTCACCTTGTAGATTTTCCCTTCCTCTGTGCCCACTAGGAACATGTAGTTGATCTCTTTGTGGAAGTCAAAGGCGGTACCACAGCCTTAAGAGAAGAGGGAACAGCCTTAGTTCAGTCCTGAGAAGGAGCTCCCCAGCACCGCCCTTGCTCAGCAAAAGGGCTCTGTGAGGGACAGATTGAACCTGGGCCCCTGTGAGGGCTGGGACTAGGCCAGGCAAACAGAAACCGGTTCTCTGGCCTGTTTGTCCCAGGCAGTTAGAACTCTGCAAAGGGGCCAGGAATGGGGGCCTGGGTAAACAAGGCAAGGATTGAGTTAAACAGGGTCAGGGTCAGGGTAAACAGGGACCAGGTCTGCAAACAGGGACATGGTCTGTGCAAACAGGGATATAGTCTGCATAAACAGGGTGGGAATTGAGTAAACAGGGACAGGATCTGGGTAAACAGGGCCCTGATCTGCATAAACAGGGATGGATCTGCATAACAGCACCTGATCTGCATAAACAGGAACAGGGTCTTAAAACTCAGAAGGGACCTGTGTAAATAGGAAGGGTCTGCAAATGGCCAAGGGCTAAGCTGACAGCTTCAGACTTTCCTGTTACCTCCTGTCTGGGCTCAGCACAAATTGGGGAGAGAGTGTTGAGAAGGAGAGGGCCACCCTCATTGACTCTCAGGGGGCCTGAATGGCTAGCCAGGCCTGAAGGGGGTTCCTACCCACTGTGTGTAGCTGCAGCCCCTCAGGAACTTCCGTGGTGCTGCCCTCCACCTTCAGCTTGATGACATCTGTGTGAACCAACTCACTCTGTATTCACAGAGGGTTGAGGGAGAGCATACATGTTGGGGTGGATCAGCAGGACCAGGGGGGATATCCTTTGCCATTTGGCTCCCCCAAGTCTCCATCCACCCCTGCAAGACCCTCTTTGAGAAAGAGACAACCTTCACAAGTGTCCAAGACACGATCCTGCCATCAGATGACACAGAAAAGAAGTTAAGGTTGTGGTCCATGTCGTCCTTCTGCCACCTGACCTGAAACATTCAAAACCATGAGCTCGGGGACCCTGCTAGGATGTGGAGATAGGACTGTGAGCAGGGCTCCTCCAAGCACCCATCTGAGGCTCAGAAGCAAGTTCTGGGAGCCCATTTCCCAGAATCCCATGATTGGTCCTGTGTACCTCCTCCCATCCATCTCTGTCTCTCTGGTATCCCTCTGTCCCTGACCAACCTGGGGCAACAGTACTAGTCAGGCATTGTTCTAATCTAATGATCAGCAGTGGAGGTACATATTCCTCCCTGGGTTGAATTTTAGGACCCTCATTGTGGGAAGAAGCCTATATAGTTTTGGGTTCAACCTCCTTATAGAGACATGACCTGAAAAGGACAGGGCCCAAAAACCAGTTTTCTCACTTATAAAGTGGAAGTCATAATAGCACAGGCTTGTTGTGAGGAATGAGATATGATATGTGAAACACTTAAGTCAGAACATTGTGCATATTAAGTATTCAACAAATGTTGGCTAATGTCTTCATTATTACCATCATCCTAGCAATGTGGGTGCCAAGTTTCTGCAGGGGTCTTTCTCCTGTTTGCTTGGAGGTAGGGTGGAGAAGAAGAGAAGTATACCCCCCTCCTCTGCCCTCCTCTTAGGCTTGGCCTTTCTCTAGGAAGTGGCTCCTCTGTTCCCACTTTCACGTCATCACTAGCTCCTGCTCCCAGAATCTTGCTCCCAAATCCCAGAATTGAGCCGCATTTCTCCATCTGCAAATCAGGGTTAATTATCCTGCCCCACCCGTCTTCTCAGGGCTGGAAGCAAACATATGGGAAAGTGTTTTGGAGACAGAGCTGTTGTCTTATGAAGATGACACGCTTGAAGCTCAAGTTTCTGTTGCCAGATGTGGAGGCCTAGCCAAGCCAAGTCCCAGGGAGTGGGGTGGGGCTGGGCGCCCAGAGCTTTCTATCCTCTGGCTCCCTCCAGACCGCCCATGCTGGGACCACTGTCCAGTCCCCTCCCCCTGTCACAATCAGAGGCTCAGTGAGGGAGGCCAAGAACCTAGTGCTGTTGCCTGTAACCGCAGCTGTCACCATGGCTGTTGGGGGGTGGGGAGAAGAGGTTGTCTCTCCCCAACCACCCCCCAGGCCTGGCGGATCAGAGCTGTGGGAGGGCGGACTGAGTCCTTCTTGGGCTTGTCTGGGCAGAAGGCTCATTTGAGCTTTCACTGGGGGGCAGAACACAGCAGAGCAAGTAAAGGCTCAAGCTCAAATTAAAGCTTACCCTGTACGGAAAATACTTCCCCTCTGTGTAAAGGTGGTCCCTTTAAAGGGGGGAGGGGACAGGGGGTGTCAAAGGCCAGGTTGTAAGAGGCACTAGGGAGCTGCAAAGGGAAGTGTTTAATGAGCAGACGCCAGCACTCTTGGAAATTGTATTTCACACCCCACTTAGCAGCCTGATGCCCAATGGGGGGTGGTGTGTGCATTTGCAAGCAACTGTGTGTGTGTATGTGTGTGTGTGTGTGTGTGTGTGTGTGTGTATTTAAGTCACACACGTGCTCCTGGAGTGGAGGTGACAGGATAGGAATAAAGCAGGAGAGGCACAGTGGTAAGTGGGGTTAAGAGAATGAATGAACACTCAGGGACCAGGTGGTAGGGAAGAGCTGGAGCCTAATTAACTCCCCCTCTTTCACCTTATCTAATTAAGGCAGACCCCTGCTTGCCCCCAGTCTTTGCTCATACAGCCTTCCTGCTCCCTTTCCCATATTGCACAACACGTGCACATACCCCAAATCTGGTACTGGTTGAGGCTTCACAGTAAGGCCTCAGCAAGGCCGGACTACTTAGGCAGGGTCTCTGTAGAAGTGGCCTGTGTCATGGGACAGGAGCTCAGTCTTAAAGACAGTTCTCTCCATGACTCCCCACTGCCAACAGAACAAACTCCTACCCCAGCCTGGCACTTGCAGTCCAAAAAACCTCTCTGGGTTCCTCCAAATACTTCGGATACAGTCCCCATAAGAAGGACTTAGTAGCATGCACAAGGTGCTGGGTTCAATCTCTTGCACTGCAAAAAAGTAAAAAAGGACCTGGATTCTGATATCTTTGATATCTCATTCACCAGTCTGCTGGTTCTCCTTCAAAATCTTTTCTTTTCTTTTTGAGCTGGGGTCTTGCTATATTCCAAGCCATCCTCCTACTTCAGCCTCCCATGTAGCTGAGAACACACATCATTTCATCTGGCTGGCTCCAGACTCTTACCTCCAAGTGCCTGGAGGAGACCTCCCTTTGGGTATCTATCAGTCTTCTTGTATTAACTTCTGGCCAAATCTGTTCCTCTCTGCCATTTCCTACTTCTGTAGATGCCCTACTGGGCACCCCAAACATGGGCAGCATCAATTCTTCCCTTTCCTCATATCTAATCAATTCCTTCCTCCTACTGATTTTATTGCCCTAACAGCTCTCCATCCTACCTCCTCATCTGCACTGCTCCTTACCTTTGCTCAGACTTTGAAAGTTCTCATGCACAGCCAGATGATCTTTCAAAGAAATAATCATGACTTACTCCTCAACCCAAATTCTCTGATGATTGGACAGAAATCTTCAAACAAGACTCAGGGGAAATCTTAGGAGCTTTGGGAAACTAGTGCAGGGGACAGAGTGCATAATAACAGTGGACCCTGAAGCAAGCAGGGCCCTGATCTTACTAGAGAAGTTCCAATCCCATCTTTTTAACATATTGTGCTTTGTATTAACATTCCATTTGAAATCACTGACCTACAATGTCTAAGTTTCTTGTCTTGATAACTAAGTACCTGAGGACTGGATGCCTACCCTTTCCTCAGGTCTGTTCCCCTCCCTCAGGGTAACACAGGCCACTCTGTTTGAAATCCCATGTCATTGCATAAGTGACCCTCCTTGTTCTTCATTTAACTAACACTTCTCCATCACTCACAATTCCGCTTAGGAGTAGATTCCTCTAGAGAGACTTAGCTGACCCTTCTGCCCCTAGTCCCCACCCAGGACAATGTGGATTTCCCTCAGTGCACACCTCTACTTCAGCACTTAGCATTCTCTCCTGCCCTGGTCAGCCTATGGTTGTGGTTCTCTTCCCATTACGAAGTCCAGAACCTAGGCCCTTGAGCATCCTTAGCAACCAGAGAAGCAAATAGGGAGGAGTTACTGAAAGGATGAATGAGTGAATGAATGAGAAATGGATAGAGAAATGAGAGGAAAAGAAAGGAACAGGAAATGATAGATAGGTTCCTCCCAGGTCACATGCAGTGATTCCAGCCCAAAACCCTTTTTTCCTGGCAGGATGGTAAAAGAGAAAGCCACCCCTGTCCAAGTGAGTTTTAGTCTTTCTGGGACCTGTCCAACGAAAAAGATAACATCTTCTCTGTGCCCTATTTTTTTCCCCTCAACTTGCTCTTGATTTAGAGAACACGGCAGAGTAGAAGTAGGGTGGTTGGGCTGGGCCTCTCCCTCTCTCCTGGGCTTGAGGAGGGTGGTTGGGTCAGCCAGAGATGCTCCTTGCTTGGCCCCCAGATATCTGGGCTGATAAAGCAGGAAGCAGGATTGGCACTGGCACCATCAAGGCAAGTCTTTTCTTCTCTGTCTGGATTTAAAGTCTTTCATGGACAAAATATTTTTATCTTACTTTATTTGGTGCTGAAGATTGAACCCAGTGCCTCATGCATGCCAGGCGAGCGCCCTACCTCTGAGCCACAACCCCAGCCCAAGAAGGTGGACTTTTTGGTGGAGAGAATTCCTGAAGCTGCAACCTCTGGTCCCTACTGCAACCTCTGTGGGGAGCAGGGGAAGATGTGTAGCTGTTTCCTTTCCACCATCTTCCCCAGGCTCTGGGTAAAGGATCAAACTGAGAGGGCACTATGTTGTTGTCCTGAGCAGTCTTCTCTCTGCTCAGGCCTGTCTAGGTGCTCAGATCTAGTGCCTGGGACAGGGGAGCTCAAAGCCAGAAGAGGAAGAGATACAAAGCCTGCCTGAAGACTGTCAGGGCGGGAGAGCAGAAAAAGATGAGAAGACAGAGTCTGAGTGCTCCTGGATAAGCCCAGAGGCTTTGGGAAATTTAAAGCAGAAATCCATCTTTAGATTCTTCCAGACTTGCTCTGCCCAGTGGGGAACATACACAGCTATAGAAGCAGGGGACCTTTGGGAGATAGTGAGGAGGGGCCTGAAAAGCCCTAAAAAACACTCTAAGAGGAAATCTGTGAAAAATCTACATCCCATAGAATAAGATAGAATATACAAGGTCAAGGTAAAATCTAGACCTAATGTCCTGGTGATGGTCTGGGGCTCATCTCACATTAGAGCAGAGGCCCTGCCCACCCATCTTAGCCCATCTGAAGAAGAGCAATGCTACAAATTGGTTCAAGGACAAATCTCAGTCTGCCAGGGCCTTCAGCTCCACCCAGAGGGCAGGCAACCAGCAGTACCCAGCCCTGTCTGGGAGCTTCCCAAAATACAGCCCAGATGGCAGAGGAGAGACCCTGTCGGGAGTCAAGGAAGCCTATAGACAAAGATCTGGAGTCCCTAACATATCCAGCTGGAGCCTGTCAGGCTCTGAAGGCCTCCCTCTATGGCCTCAGAGTTACTGATTGCCAAACCTAGGAGATCCTTGGCTGAGAGATGGGGTCCCCTGATGGGAGCACAAGGGCAGTGGACCCCATTTCTTACTGGAGACTCTCTTACCTCCTGATTTGTACCTACTGCACTTATCTGCCTCTTCTCACACCCAGTTTCTTGGGCTCTAAGCTGGTACCTGCCACCCCCAGCTCCTTGCCTATGGCCTCTCCTCCCCAAGTTCCTCCCCTCCCAGTGGTTCCCAGGGCCACATACTTCTCCCATTCTGGTGGGAGACTGACCTGCCATACGGGATCCGTGTGCTTGCCAGACTTGGCTGTGCTGCGGAAGGAGGGCTGGGTCTGGGGCTTCTTGAGGTTGTAAATGGCCACATTTCCATCATAGTGGCCCACCACCACTAGATAGGGATGGTCCATATGCATGTCGAGACACATGATGCCACTGTCACTGCTGAAGGTGTATTCGGGGAAGCTGGGATTCTTCATGCTATAGAGCAGCAGCATGCCCCTGCTCTGCTTCATAAAGTCATCTACCCAGGGAAGAAGGGTGGTTACAGTTGGAGGATCCATCTGTTCTGCTGCGAAAGCCCCCTTGCCCCTATCCCACCTTCTGGGCAAGTCCTGCCCTGCTCTGCCTATCAGAGAGCCTGGGATCCCTCCCTGGGTTTTTACCTTCACTGTGAAATGGAATTATGAGATTTTGCCTACATCTTTCCAGGGCTCATGGGAAGATCCTAGCTAGCCAGTCATGCTGCCACAGACTTATTCAGACTTCCTACCTGCCCCATGTCAAAAAAGTGCTCTTTCTTCATTTTTTCTGCACACTTGGTTCCCATCCTGATATGCAGTCATTGAACATAGTCATAGTCTTCAAATCCAACTTCCCTGCTACCAGCTCAGACCTCTCAGCCCCTTTCCCAAACTCAAAGTAACCACAGCCAGAGAGGTAGAGGCTAGTGCAGCCCCCATTTTGTAGGCCCTATACCAAGGGAGACTTTTGGCCAATATGAGAGTCTTTCCACTTTCCCTGCTTTAGGACCTCCTCCTTTGTTCCTGACAAATGTAGGACCTGGGACCTTGTGACAAAGTATCCAGTCTTTTTTTTTTTTTTCAAAGTATCAAGTCTTGAAGTATGAAGCATATGGGTGGGAGTATCAGGGAGGTAACCTCAACTTGACTAGTCTTGTTAAGTTGTTCTGTTTTATTTTTAAGGCTGACCCTTAATCAAGAAAATGTCTGGTCAGGGCATGGTTGTGCACATCTGTTATCCCAGTGACTCAGGAGGATGAGATAGGATTAGAAGTTCAGATAAGCCTCAACAACTTAGGGAGACCCTGTCTCAAAAACTTAAAAATAGTGCTAGGGATATAGCTTGGTGATAGAGCACTCCTGGGTTCAAACCTATATACCATGAGGAAAAGGGTGTGGGGGGAGTCGGGTTTAGTTGGACCCAGATCCAGGGCTCAAGGTATGAACTCAGTTACTACCTTGTCCCAGGTATCCCCACTTCAGGCATTCCACAAAGACCAAACGGAGCTCTGATTGAGAGCAGGGAGAGGGCAGGAGCCAGGCTGTCTTTAGAAGAGTACATTGGGCCAGGTGTGGTAGCACATGCCTGAAATCCCAGTGGCTTGGGAGGCTGAGGCAGGATGCTTGCGAGTTCAAAGCCAGCCTCAGCAACTTAGCAAGGCCCTAAGAAACTCAGCAAGACCTGTCTCTATAAGATATAAAAAAGAGCTGGGGAGATGGCTCAGTTGTTAGGTGCCCCTGGGTTCAATCCCCAATAGAAAAAAAAAAAGCCAGAAAAGTACATTGGAAGCTGAGGCAAGCTGGCATGCCCACCAGAGCAGCTGTCTATGGGGAAGACTATCTTCCCTTGTTGGGTTAATCCTCACCAGCTCTCAAATTCGAATCAGTAGCTCCTCCCTGGATCAGTTGCAAGGGAGGCCACACATGCACCTGGGAGAGAAGATTCCAGGGTCCAGCCAGAGCCATGGGGAGGGCAAGTGGTAAATCCGGAAGGAAAATGCTTCTGTTCTGGGGAAAGTGAGCCTCCCAGCAAAAAGTAGACACTTGAGGGCTTCCAGATCCCCTGATACCAAAGCTGGGTCACTGCATGCCTGACTCTATCTTAAAATCAGTAGGAGGCTGGCCTTGGGGTAGACCTAACAGTACCTCATTCTATAGGACTCCAGGGTGGGCCCCATGGGTTGACTTCAAGGGTCAGCTGGCTGAGGGGAGTGTCTTTTTTGTCCAGAACATGAAAGGCTTGAATTGGGCAGTGTGACCATCACTGTCGCTCCTTTTGTTCATCAAACAAATTTAGCTCCTTTTGTTCATCAAACCTGGTCTGGGCCTCCTACTATGGGTTACCCCTTGCAGGGTCAGAGACAGCCACTCACTAGATTCTGCAGCTGAATGAGTAATCCACAAACTGACCAGCCAACTGCCAGGTCAGAGGCGAGCCCTTGGTACTCCAAATTCCAATCCTTCTTCTATGCTGGTCAAGACTGACACAGGGTGAGTAGGTAAGCAGGTAAGTAGGTGAACAAGAGAGTGAAGGAATGCCTGCCCAAGCCAAGGACTCAGATGCTATCCTTATTGCACCAAGGAGCAAAGGTAAGCATGACATTCACAATTGCTCTTACTTTCTTCTTCTTCTTCTTCTTCTTCTTCTTCTTCTTCTTCTTCTTCTTCTTCTTCTTCTTCTTCTTCTTC